CTTTCTTTTATTTAGAGTGGGGGTGGGGGTGGGAAGGAGGTTGCGAATGGAGGTGGGGTGGGTTTGGTAAGGCTTCCTCAGTGGTTGGGATGAGATGGGAAGAGGTGAGGTGAGGTGAGGTGACATGAGGTGAGACAAGATGAGGCGAGACGACACGAGACGAGAAGAGGTGAGATGAAACTAGATGAGACGAGATGAGATAAATTCAGATGAGATGAGATGAGATGAAACCGTTTTTTGTCAGAGGTTAGAGTTTAAAAAACAGCACACACACAGTAAAAATAAAAAAGTAATACCCATGGTAATTGCTTGCAAAACGAACACACCGGTACTTATGAGACGTTTAGAGTTTGATAAAAAAAAACAAAAAAAACAATCGTCACTTGCCGGAAGACAGGGCTGATGAAAAAAACAAAAAACAAAACAAAACACCCAAAAGGAAGCCCAAAAACAAAAACCAACAATCCCGCAGACTCTTCATAGAATATATTAAAAATTTTATATTTTCTAGTCGAAAATCGAACCAATATCCCTTGCATGTAAAAAAGTGAACAGACAGTAGTTACTTGTCGTACGTTTAAGTTAAACAAAATTTAAGCAAAACAAAATGTGAGGCAGCGTGGTGGAATCAGGCGCTCGTCAATTTTTGGGGCATGTAGAGTTATTGGTATCGTCTTAAAGCTTGTTCACTTTTCTTTATTTGGGTGAAAAAAATAGCCATTTATCTTGAATACAAGTCGAGATATTTGTGAAAGAAGGAGGAAGGGGTCACCTGTTTTCTTGGGTAAAATTAGTCAGAATCTGACCGCCAAAGATGTGTTATTTCCTTAGCTTAAGAGTCCGTGGTAACTGAAAATTTACTTTTTTTGTACCTTTAATAAACGTTTTTCAGAAAAATCCACACTGAAAAGAGTTCTTTAATGGGCATGAAAGGTGCTGAACCAAAAAAGGAAAAAAATTAATAAAAATTCACAAACCGGCAGAAAAATGCAAGTTTCTTCACTTTGATTATTTTGACGAGAGACTGATTCCACCACGCTGCCTCACAAAAAAAAACCAAAACGGTATTAACTTTACCGCCGTGGGTGGATGATGTAGGCCAAGCGAATGGCTTGGATGAGGACTAGGAGCCAGCTGACCACGAAGATGTTCACGTATGACACTCCTTTGTGGATCCTGGGGCCAGACAAAGATGGGATTTTGTACGTCTTTCAACAGAATATCGGGGGTTTTTTTCCAACAGAATATCGGTTCCTCTATTTCTTTCAACAGAATATCGGTTCTTCTTCTTTCAAAAAAATATCGGTTCCTCTACTTCTTTCAACAGAATATCGGTTCTTCTACCTCCTTCAACAGAATATCGGTTCTTCTACTTCCTTCAACAGAATATCGGTTCCTCTATTTCTTTCAACAGAATATCGGTTCTTCTTCTTTCAATAAAATATCGGTTCCTCTACTTCTTTCAACAGAATACCGGTTCTTCTTCTTTCAACAAAATATCGGTTCCTCTACTTCCTTCAACAGAATATCGGTTCTTCCACTTCCTTCAGAATATCGGTTCTTCTACTTCCTTCGGCAGAATATAAGACAAAATGGAGTGTAAC